GTCATTAGCACCTCTAGTAATATTTTTACTGAGAAAAATGGTGACGTGTTCAATACTTATTTTACCCGCGGTATAATCTTTTGTCTTTTAACTTTCACTTCAACTATATGTGTCTTGCACTGGGAAATCCCTTCGTATAAAGTGTGGCTTCATTTTGAAGCTTGAAGTGCCATCATTCTGGACACTCTTGTAAACAAATGTAGCTTTTTGCCAGGTGATAATTGCCAAATATCAACAAACCAAGGATCGTTTGGAAACTTTTAAAATGGAAAATTAGAACATAATAGCAGTGCAATATAGAAAAATTCTTCATTGTGACTCATTTTGCCAKCTTTCTGAAATCACCAAGGACAGTTTTGATTTCCTGCGTATCCTTGAAATCCTTGCTTGTGCAATGACTGCCTGTAGTTCAGACTTGTATCATTTGTGTGGATCTGCTTCATCGCTTTTTTGAGTCAGAGAAAAGCGTAGGTGGGCCTCGGAGACTTCAGGGTAGACGGGGGAGTCGGGATGAGAGGGTGGGTGGCTCGTCACTGCTGATGCGATTCAAGGTAGTCCTTGAGGACGAATCAAGGACTTCAGYGCTTCATGCCTGCTGATGGGGCAACAAATGCTTGGATGAAGATACTGAACGACAGAAGTCAAAGACACCCCCCCCAGTGACCCACCCTGCCCTTGGCTGGACCTGACTCTCCTGCCCTAACTGAACACATTCAGGTGGTTCACTCAGCAGGACAGAGGGAGGGGAGAGCAGAAGGGGGGATTATATGATGCGTGGCCTAGTTTTACATTATCCCATAATGATCAGGTGAGTGACTTACCTGAACAACTGCATCTCACTCTGTACAACCTTAACATGTTACATCAACACAAACAAACAAACAAACAAACAAACAAACAAACAAACAAACAAACAAACAAACAAACAAACAAACAAACATGACACAAGACATGCCTTCTGCTGGTGAGCAGCTGGTTCAGAGAGCAACAGGTAACATGAAGTAAAGGTAAATAAATAATTCTTACCTGTCCTGAAGTGACTAAAGGTGAAAATCTCTAAAATAAAGATGTGAATAAAACAAACAGGAACAGGTTTAAAACTAAAACAGTAAAACTTTGACATCAGCAGCCCAGAACCATGCCAGAAGCCCGCGCTGACTCCCGSACCGGAGAAGCTGCAGCTCCGTGGAAACCTTCAGGTCCGTCAAGCTGCGTGTACTCAACCGGAAGTAAGAACAATTGGACTTTCAAAATAAGATGTTGCGCGTTCAGAATGTAGTCTTAAACGTGAAAATATACCAATAAAGCKTGAGAAAAATGTACATTTTGTTTGGAACTTCACATTTAAAAATCTAATAATTTTAGATATCTATAAAATATGCATGCTTGTAAAATAGTCCAAGCTGCTCTAGAGTTTTCTGAATTAACCATGTAACTAACTAACTAACTAACTAACTAACTAACTAACTAACTAACTAACTAACTAACTAACTAACTAACTAACTAACTAACTAACTAACTAAC